TATTGACTAAGGGGGCGATGTCATGAATAATTTCAATGGATTTCATCCGGATTGTCTTACGAAGCCGTGAAGATGGACACGGCCGAAGCCGCTTTATGCGTTACTCAATGGTAGGCGGCATTGCCCGATGTAGATTCGTAAGTAGGGTACTCAGTGAGTCGCTGCATCAGCTCCGATTTGGGAGTCTAAGATACCTTATCTCCGCTAAACTCTTTTGGAGGGCTAGCGCATCGGACTTTCTCGTTTCGAGCATTCTGGTCAATTCCTTTACGATGCGACATTTTCGGGCAGCTCGGAAATACTAGAATAATTCCAGCTCGGCGAGTCGTCAGAGACGTGTGATTGTGGATTCGTCTCTCAATTGACTCTCTACACCAATTGATTCTGGGCTCCAGAATCTTTGAAATTCACTGCTCCAGAATCTGCAGCTGTGAACTTCGGTTGAGATACTCAGGTTTATTTTCCCACACTTGAAATGCATGTTGCCTTATTACCCTTCCTCCATCTCATGGGGGTTATGATTCTCTCCCATCTACCGGGGGTATTCTCAGCAGCTCAGGGAGCTGCAGTAGTGATTATCGAAGATAATAGAGGCAAGCAAGTCCCTATAAAGGAGGCGTTCCGCCGTACCTCCCGCGACGTCACCGAGGGGAGAGGACGGGCCCACCATTCAGTGGAGGAACTGAGTCGACTATCGGAGTGCCTCGGAGAGTCGGCGGACTCGGCGCTGGTAACGAACTTGGAAATCACGGGTATTGAGATAGTCTCCACTGGAGTCCCGGGCTGTTTGGTGTCTGATGAGGAGATTTGTGATTTTGTTGTGTCCCTAAAACACAATGAAGACTATAAGGAAGTAGCATGCACGGTCAACTCACACTCGTGGATGACACCACAGATCAGTGAAATGCCAGGGGCTACATCATTCCGCGTTGGTGTCCCTCGGAGAAAAGCTCGGGTAAACGCGTTGGTGTATCCTCCGAACGATCCGTTTTTTTCGGAGCAAGAGGAGCTGTTCGAAGCGTTGAGGATCGAGGAGGCGTGGAAGGCAGTGAGGGATTCGGGCCTTCAACGTAGGGAGCCAATCGTGAGCTTAATGGATACCGGTATTAAAGCCGAACATCCTGAGTTCGATGGGAGACTTCTCAAGGGGATTAACCTTGATGGGCTACGTGGAGAGGATGACGCGGATCTCCACGGCCACGGCACAGCAATGGCTGGTATCATTGCGGCTAATTCGAACAACGGCGAAGGTATCAGTGGGATCGCCGATAGAGTTAAAATACGATCGATAAGGATGTCTTATAAAGAGGGAGTTGCTCCTGTTGATGTTTCTCGCGCCTGGGAGGAGGCTTTGCGATGTGATGATACCGACATCATAGTCTTCCCTTATATTCAAGAGAATTGTGGTGAGACTGCGGCTCTATATAGTCGTGTGTTGAAGAAAGCTGTCAAGAAGGGCTTCGTAGTCCTCGTATCTTCTTCTAACTCGGATGAAGTCGACAGTGCGTGCGAGATTGAGCAACCTTGTTCCCAAGCCAATGGTATACCAGGAGTTCTCTGCGTTACCTCAACCTACGTGGATAACCCGATGACGTTGGTCTACGGGGCGTCCAAATTGGCAACTCTTGCCGTACCATCCTCCGACGTATGGTTCCCAACACCGGAGCGTGAGGGAAGCGAGTGGCTATATTCAAAGAATT